ATCCATTGGTGAGAAAGTGATGAAGTGCAAAATTTCTCCAAATTTGTTCTCTGTTCTCACTGACATCTTGGATGTCCTGAGGGTGAGTACTTTTTTTTTTTTTTTTTAGCACATTTTCATTTCTGGGTGAACTATTTCTTTTTTAAGACCACAAAAACTCAAGCTAACCAACCAAGCAATTTCAGATCCCAAAGCTTTTCTCTGAAATTTAGCTGAGAGAACTAGTTTGGATGCCAAACAAATCTGAATATACCATCATCTCGGCAATATTGTTGGGAGTCTTTCAGCATTGTAGTTCATGACTCCTTTCACCAAGTAGGGAAAAACAGGACAGGACAATAGAACAAGAGAGAAAAAAGGAAATAAGAGCATTGTCACCTGTTCCCAAACAGCCTAGGTGACCCGGTTGCCATGAGAGACAGCCAGGTATCAGATAACACCAGCTCGAAAAATGAACGCTTTGAGAGAGAAGAGTGTCGGTGAGAATTTATAATATGTGCTGATTTTGATCCCGTGCAATGGCTTTATGTTACATTTTGTCATTAACAACATGTAAATAAAAAAACGTGATGGTGATCGAAACCACTCAAACATACCTCACACTGAGCAACAATAAGAAGCGGTAATAAAAATATGAACCTCTCAAACTGAGCCTTATTAAAAACTATGACCTCTCACCTTTGGGGGTTTGAAAGGAGGGGGACTTAACCCTGAATAGCAAACAGAGCTGGATTTGTAACCTGAACCTTCCCCCACGCCCCCACTAATGAGAGGTCAAAGGGCACACGCTGCTCCTCAGCTGTGTTTCATACCTGTGTGTGTGTGTGTGTGTGTGTGTGTGTGTGTGTGTTTCATTTACTGGTAAAGTTTTGGTGATGTATATGAACCAGACCTACTGTGTGAGATTTGTAAGTGTGAATGTCAAATGTAAACGCAGAGTGTCAGATATACTTGCTGACAAATGTGAATACTTGTGTTTATTTAAAGCATTTTTCCTCAGTTTGAAGTCTAAAGTTTGCACTGAACAGATCAGTTCCAGGAGAAATGCCATTAAACTAAATAAGAAGTTGAACTTGAATTCCAACTTACCATAAACATACATAATAACAAATTGTGTCATCAGACTTTCATTCTTTGCCTTCTGGGATATGAAGCTGTCATTCATCTTTACTGAACTTTGACCTCTGCAGTCTTACACAATTTCTTTGGTATGCCTGCTTAGAGAGAGAGAAGGAGAGGTACAGAGGTGATTTTTTTCATGCATACAGCACAAGTTTTGTGCAGTTACAGGCCACTAGTACTTTTTTGATATTGCTAAACACGCGTTTCTGCAAACAGATACATTTTCAATTGGGGAACAATTCAAAAGGATGCAAAAGCATTTCTTTTAGGGGTAGGGTTAGTCTGGAGTAATTATAATTAAAATAAAACGAAAGTGTAAAGTATGTTTTCAGCTAAATGTGTGTTTGTGTAATTGAATGGCACAGGTTGTTAAAATTAAGAGAATATGCAAGGATTTCAGTGAAACACACACACATACATGGGGTTAATCTATGCCCCCTGGTGAAATTGGACCACAGAGGGAGAGAGCTCAACTGTTTTTTTCATTATTTCTTCTTATAGGCCACACACAGTACTTTGTACGAGTGCAGGACAGACATTACTCTTCAATTAATTTAATGGCATTTTATTTTCTTGTTCCAGATTCTGAGCTGAAACAACATCTGTACTGCATAGAAGAACATAAGAACAGAACTTTAACAGAACAAGAAATAGATCATGAAATAGATCATACATATTTTACAGAGGGCGAGATTCATTATTTGTCCGTTTGTGGAAATAACAGATAGATGACACTGACTGGCGCCCTCTTCCTGTAGTACAAAAATATGACACTTTGAGTCTGCAGATTGCCAGACTGAGAAATTTGTATTTGAAATTATTTTGCAAGTAATATATAAGCTAGAGAGAGAGAGAGAGAGAGAGAGAGCATTATTGTTATTGATCCTTTTTAAATAACATAAAATATTTGCTGAATATTAATTATTATTATTATTATTATTAATGTTATTAATACTTATGATATCAATATATTAATACTATATTATTAATATGTCTAATTTTTTTTTTTTTTTTCTAATTATAATCTTACAAAAATAAGATGTGTAAATCGACAATTAAAAATATTTTGTATTTAGCTTCAAATATGTCATCTCTCATCGCCTGACTGTTTTTTAGAATCCTTTAATGACTCAAACCTGTTTTAAGACGGAGACTGATTGTACTGTACTGTAAAATGTTATCATCGTTACAACATCATTTTTGTTTCCATCCTTATTTCTGTACTTTCTATACTCTTAATTCGCTTTCTATACTCTTAATTCGCTTTCTATACTCTTAATTTTTAGATGAACTGATCGGTGATTAAATTCAAAGTGCAAAAATGTGCACTGAAATGATCATTGCAGGTTGTGACTGGTTTTCCTCACAAATTTAAATCAGCAGCTACATGTAAAGTTTTCCATTTTAGTGCTTTAAAATATTTGTAAAATTTCGATTAGGATAGACTGTATTGTTATTTTCGTATATTTTGCAAACATACAATCTCATCTCAGTTTATGTGAAAGAATAATAAGAATAAACTATAATCTATTTTTGAACGTTTTGACGTTAAATCAAAGCCTATAGTAGGTATGACTTTGTTGACATCTAATTACGAGCCCCAGTCGGTTAAAACTGTTGCGCCCCTGCATCTAAATATACAGGCCAAATATACAAAACAAATGCAGCCAAATCATGTTTAAAATGCATTCAACAATCCAATTCTTACTGAAAAAATGTTGCTGTTTAAAAGTAAGGCCCCATTAGTCAATATTATTTAAAACTAAAACTGGAACGCGTGATGATAGTTTTTCTCTCTCTCGGCTGCAACAACGTCTAATTAGCGGTGGATTCTCCTCCGCTCAGTCTTTCATTTACACCTCACAGAAAACTCATAAACACACACTCAGTGAAAAGAAAAACAGTTTACACCTTCACAGTGGTGGAGCGCGGACTACTAAGCATGAAATACGGGGACATTTATGTTGCACTTATTAGGATGTTGTGTGTGTGTGTGTGTGTGTGTGTGTGTGTGTGTGTGTGTGTGTCTGTCATCACCCTGTATAATCACAGTAGAGCCCATTGGTAACGTCGGGGCCGTACTGTGCGTATGAGCGCGCGCGCTTCTGTTGGTCCAGAACATCTTGAAATGATCATGATCTAAGAGCGGGCACGCCGCCGTGCTGGGGGCTGGTAGAGAATCTGGTGTGGGATGGAGGGGGTGCATTGTGCTGAACATACTACCGTAACCCGAGCTGCCATCGGCCCATGAACTGTTCAGGACAGTAGAGAAAGTTTTAGGCACAAATTTGTTAAATAGAATTCATTTGTTCACAACATGGCTAGAATTAGCACTAAATACCTAAATGGGTCACAATTAACATTACACTGTGCAATAAAAGCAATTAATAGATAAACCTTATATTATTTTGTGATTATTTTAGCTGTTTGCAAAGTGTGACGTTACAAAAATAATACCTACATAAGATGCAATTGGCTTTATGTACATTTGAGTTTTCAGCAGATGCTCAGATATACAGATTATTTACAATTCTGATTCTGGTAGAATATGTAGATTAAGTAGATTATTCTAAAATGCAGTTAACATCTGCTAGCTGAGTAAACCATGTTTGTTCAATGGCATTAATAAACCATTAAGGAAAAGGAGAGGGGCGCTGACAAACGCCCCCTGACAGAACACGAATGATTGTTTTTACAGGCGTTGAGAGGACAATTAAAGATTACACAGATATTAATTAGCATTAGGGAATATTCAAGGTCCAAAATCCTCACACCGTCCTAAAATGGATAGGGAAAAATTAGGGGGAATATTTTTCCAAAAAATAAAATAACCTCAGGCGGGCCAGCTGGATTTCCCGGTGTCATGTTACGGATATCTTCAGAGATAAAGAGCTGTGACCTGGAGACTAAGAGCTCGTCAAGCTCACAAGTTATTCGCTAATGGATCGGTTTAGTGTTTCAGACCCAGTTTACAAAACCACACGGACCAAATGCTCCAACGGATGGGCGTTTTCAACAAGATGAATTTATTTAAAAGTTAAAACACTGTATACACTGCTAAAATTAAGGTTATTCAGTGGATCGTTCAGCAATAAATAAATAAATTATCTTAACAACAGTTTTAGTGTTCTTGAGTTTCTTTCTTTTAGAGATTAAAGAAGTCCTTGACATTTCACTAAGGTTCTTACTGGAAACATTTTTACATTTTCCAGTAAGAGGGTAGGCCTTGGCTATATAGTAGATAGATAAAAACAATTTATAACTATTAGCTATCTACAGTACATAGTACATAACTGAAATGAAGTCGAATTAATGTCGATATCGTTAGATTCAACAATACAAAAGGTTATTCTCTCTCAAGGCCAATGACTTCAGGTTCAACTGGCAGAAGTAAGAGCTCATGTATTTGCACATTTATGAATTATTATAGGTATTGTTGCTTGTGTAATTTATTAATTAGTAAAATGAAGTCAAAAACAATTTATTAGACAATTTCTGAAATGTGTGACTGAATTCAATAATAAATATTTCTGCATCTCCCGTTCAGCATCCTTGACTCTTAAATCCGTCACCAAACTTTCACACAATTAACAAGCTGTGAAAATGCCACCTAATTAGGAGCACACAGTGGTCATGATAAATTACAGAATAGGCTACCTATTAATCTAGAATGTCTTTAACTTAAAGCAGTAGTACAAAATATAGCCTATTTGAAGTACCTAAACTGTGATATTAAGAAAAACGGAAGACGATATAGACTCTGCTTGCAAGGTTGTGGAGGTGCTTGTAATAATTTAATAATTGATTAGTAGCCTATCAGCTGCAGTGTGAGTGAGCATGTGCGTGCGTGCGTGCGTGTGTGTGTGTGTGTGTGTGTGTTCAAGGTCTCCAGTTTCAGGCCTTGACGTCCGCCCTCCGGGGAGGAAACGGAACGGATCTGTAGATGCAGTTCTGCTCTGCTGGCCGGTTTCAGAACAGACCGGGGCGAACTAATCACGGAATGACGCTGTGCTCGGTTTCTCTGTCATATATCCATAAGGACAAACCGCATCCGAATCTCACGTGTGCAACCCCGGAGGGTGACAGTGGTGCCACACAACTGGATAACAGGCGGTTATCAAAATTGGAGCTGCAGCAAGAGATAAACGTGGCACGGGGATTTTTGTCCGAGGACTCATTTGAGAGGAATACCTACAGAGCCTCTGAATAGGAGGGTATTACGTGGTGGACTGCACCGGGCCGCAATGTCAGTCTTGCCCTCTTTCGGCTTTACGCAGGAGCAGGTCGCGTGCGTCTGCGAGGTGCTGCAGCAGGGTGGAAACCTGGAGAGGCTCGGACGTTTCCTTTGGTCCCTGCCAGCCTGTGACCACCTCCACAAAAACGAATCCGTGCTGAAAGCGAAGGCCTTGGTGGCCTTCCATCGGGGAAACTTCCGTGAGCTCTACAAGATCCTGGAGAGCCACCAGTTCTCCGTGCACAACCACCCGAAGCTGCAGCAGCTGTGGCTGAAGGCGCACTACGTGGAGGCGGAAAAGTTGCGGGGCCGCCCGCTAGGCGCTGTGGGCAAATACCGCGTGCGCAGGAAATTTCCTTTGCCCCGTACGATCTGGGACGGTGAGGAGACCAGTTATTGCTTTAAGGAGAAGTCTCGGGGCGTGCTGCGTGAATGGTACACGCACAATCCCTATCCATCTCCACGGGAAAAGCGAGAGCTGGCGGAGGCAACGGGACTGACCACCACACAGGTCAGCAACTGGTTTAAAAACAGGAGGCAGAGAGACCGGGCAGCTGAGACAAAAGAGAGGTGAGATATAATTATAATAATAAATACATATAAAAATTATACAAGTACACAGCCTGCCGTTTTTGAGAGTGAACTGGGGTAGCCTACATGAAATAAACGTTTTCAAAAAAAAATAATGCGCAAATTTAGCGTTGATTATTGCAGTCACTTGTAGAGAACAACAATAGCCTATTTGAGAAATTTATCGTTATATCAGAAATATTACATTATATTATTATTATATTGACACTCAAATTTAACTGTAAACACGAATCTAAACCAACATCAAGTTACACTGTCTAAATTTATCATTTGTAGCCTATATTTGTAATTTATAATTTGTAATTTAATACTTTATATATTGCCTAGCTATTTTTATTTTTATAATTCGGTTAGGATTTTAAAAGAAGACTCTTTTTGTTCTAAAGAACGAAACAAGAGCAGAAGACGAGAAAAAAAAATTCTTATTGCAGTGAGAATTTATTTAGGCCTGTATTCATATCATTTAATTAGCCTACAGATTTTAAATGTTAAAGTTCATATAAATAGGCCTAATGGTATACTTTGAATTATATTCTCTAAAATTGTCTATCGTAAATCTGTGATGACAGTTATCTTTTTAGTCATGTTGACATAAAGACGAGGTACACTGGTGCGTAAACAGTTGGATTTTTTTTTCTTAAAACAAACATCAAGCATTAGATTTTTTCTTTAGCTAATAATTATTTTAAGATTAAACTATTTTGAAACCATAACACGCCTATTAAAGTCACTTTCTAATAGGCTACTATGTAGCCTCATTCTAGGCCTGTAACATGTCAATTATATATAATATGTTACTAATGTAATATTCACCCAACAGAGAAAACAGCGAGAACAACGGCGTTGGCGGTAAGCAGAGCCAGCGGTCTCCGCTCGACGGAGTGAAGTCGCTCATGTCCAGCTCGGAGGATGAGTTCTCTCCGCCGCAGAGCCCCGAGCACAACTCCGTGCTTCTACTGCAGGGGAACATGAACACTCCCGGGGCTTCCGCATACCCAATGCCCGGCCTCGGTGCACAGCACTCGGTGCATAGCATGCAAGGACATCCGCATCAGATGCAGGATTCATTGTTGGGATCTCTAACATCCAGCCTTGTGGATTTAGGATCTTAGGACGTCTCGTTCATATTTTAAGCGACAAGACTTAAAACCATAAATAACCAATATTTACAGCGTTACCGCATACTTTCATGACGCACAGGACGTTTGCTGAAATAAACTATTCTTTTGCAAACGATTAGGAAAAGGGAGAAAATCAAAAGAGCTTCTCTGAGTTTTGGGAATTTTGAGTATACTGGACAAGTGCGTAAAATTTGTAAAACCAATGAGGCCAATATTTAAGAATATTCACAGTATTGTTGGATACATAACCCTTTAATAATTTATGATGTTTTACTCAAAGATTAATTTATAGAGATTGTTCTGTATTGGACAGTACGAATAGCAGGGATTTTTAATGAGAAAATCATTGGCTTCAAACATCTTAAACTAAACTCTATGGATGTGGAAACTTTGTTTCGTTCTTTTTTATTTAGTTTAAATATTGCACTACATTTTATTTGTAGTTTTGAAAACAGAGGCTCTCCAACATTTTTTTTTTATCACACATTGTCCACATTTTAAGTCAAGTCAACGTTTTGATCATTTGTCTTTGACTTGGAAAAGCCTGTTAATCAAAATAAAGAAAATCAGGGAACTATACAATAAATAAACACAAAGGCTCAAAATAATAAAAAATATGTCAATCCACGTGACACGTCCGAGCCGGAAGAGGGCATGAGCGCGTGAAAAATGAGAACGCCTGAAACATCAGACCCCAGTGAGGCCCTTTTGCAGAGGGCAGAGAGACGCCAAGAGGCGCCAGGCTGCGCGCAGGGCCGAGTTTAACTTTTTGACCGTTATTCAGTAAAACAAAAATTAAAAAAGGTCAAAAAACGGGCACACTGAGTCACGTTAAGCCTTGTAACATTAAGTTTGATAAACATTTATTAGTTCATTACGTTGTCAGACTTAACAAAAATGAGAGAGAATGGAGACAGAGGGAGAAAGGGGGAGTATTGCTCATTTTCTGTTTGTTCTGTCAGTTCTGGGCCACTGAAAATTGACACGATTCGCAAGAGCGGCTCTAAAGACCCTCCACCCAAAACGCCTCGTCCACCAAAAACCACTTCAAAACATTATCAACCCCATTTGAAACAATCGTGAACTTTTGTTTCTTTTTTTAGTAAAAACTCCAGACACGGACAACAACTGAAATTTCAAACAAATGGAAAAACTGAAGATTAAAAATCGAATTTGTCGCACATTTGTTGACATTTTTAAGAGAGAAATTTTTAATAGACAATATATTTCCAGCTCCGCATATGAAAGCCAACATTTCTGGAACATTCTGCAGTGTGAAATTCGCCTCTTTCTGTCTCTTTTACGTCGATAGTCTCGTGTCAGTGTAAATGGTTTTGAACAGAGAGCGCAGAGGGTTTCCGGGCCCTAATTAGAACCATTCTCTGGGTTTAGAGGGGCTTGATTGCAGGAATGAGAGGGACACCCTTCCAGCCTCAAGCCACAGGGTGCTGCACAACAGAAATTTACCTTCAGGGCAATCTATCTATCTATCCAGATTTGAAAAGCATATTCAATATTCATTGTCACTTTTAACAATACATAAACCATAAACACAGGCAATTTTTTTTCTAAATATCTTTAAAATTGGGAATAAATATCATATCGTGCCTGACTTAAACTGAGGAACCCAGAATTCTTCCACCAATAAGGCCAATGCTGGGCATGAATGTCAGCTGTGGTTTTAATCAACAGTCTAATTATATTTTGCACATATAAACATTCCTTACATCTGCTGCTATCCTCATATTGGTAGTTTATACAAAGCCAGAAATTAAGAAATCCAAATAGAAAAAGGTTTCTTTTGATTTTTGTGTTGGTGATGTGGCCAATTCTGTTTTCTCAACCAATTGGTGGACATAGTTTGGTAACAGAGTAAACGTTTAAAAAGGCTTTGAATCAGACTTTCATTTTTCATGATAATCAAACCCCAAACAAAGTGTCATTATTAAATGTCTTTTTGTTTACGTTTTCACACTGAAGTTTCTTTATCACATTGAAGGGAAAACATAAGCTAAAAGCATCCTTACACTATTACACAATAAATCTCAAACGATTGGTTGACGTCAATATCTTAAATGTTAGAATTTTTAAAAAGTTCAATTTAAATTAGAAATTAAAAAAAAATTCTGTTTATTTATGCCATGTACGGTAAAATAAATAAATAAATATGGGACTACATAGAGTATTGATTAGATTCTGATGTCAGAAGTTCTGCTTCCATTTTCTGGCACAGACAAAATGCTGTGAAATACTTCTGGTTTGCCACCTGTACAATGTGACAGTCAATCTCACACACACACTATAGGATCTGTTTGTCAGATAGCTTCACCTGCACAGGTAGTCACTCATCCAGAACTCTCAAGGAAACTGACCCTTAAATGGGTTAGGGTTGG